AATGAGTTTAATAATACGCTGGTAAAGGCTCGAGCTAAAAAGTTGGCGCATATTATCCATGTGAATACTATTAGGGACAGTACGACCCGTTTATTACGGCTCCGCCGCCGACCGAATGTTATGTTGGAGAATATTCTCAGTTTTGTCGCCGTCTGATTGGTTATCGTTCGGTACAGTTCGAGGAATATGTCGCTGAATGTCATGGTTTGGTCGCACAGGCGCTGTATTGCGAATGAATACAGTACGTGTAAAGTTACCATAGCGATCCAACACTATTACGGTGTTATAATTACCGTAATATAAAATCTCGATTAAAATTTTGCGTTCATAATTTATTAAAACATTGTAAAAACTTGTGTTATTTTGAAAATAACACTGATGATTTTAAGTATACGTGCAATGAATATACGACGGATGACGTGATACAGGCATTCACTGTACAAATCATTATATAGCATTTGTACAGTGAATGCCTGTATTGCGTCATTCGTCGTATACTCATTGCACGTATACTTAAAATCATCAGTGTAAACTATTGTATAATTTTCAAATTAAATGATTGTGTTAAGGCAATTATTTGTATTAATGAAGATTAAGTAAATATTGCGCTAACCTGTATTGACCAAAGTTGAAAATAGCAGAAATAGCTGCGATCCTCGGTGTACTGTAAAACACTGATAATTATAATCTGGAAATACTGTACATACTGTACAAAATCGGTGGTCAGATGATCATGGTGTCTGAATGTGGCTTTGTCCAGGCATGTGCCATTAAGCTGTATTAAAGTAAAATAAATTTTATTTACAAAAATTAAACTAAAACTTTAGGTAACTCAGACCATGAGGGCTTCGGTGCATTTCTTAATGATCCTGACGTTGAGTTTCAAAACACAAATCAAATATTGAAGAAATGATAGACTAAACGATTCGTAGTAATTCTGGTCCATAACATGGAGGTTAAGAAAAATGAGTGTGGTTAAAATCTAATTTAGATAAATAACATAAACGACTTACGGCCGAGTCTTTTTTGCTCAACACTATTTCCCCAATAAAATGTATGTCATTTGTGGGACATATTTGTGTATTGTTATCATACTTAATCCATTTGACAGATAGGCTATCGTACAATGGTGCGAGGTAATTGGAAAAATAATCCATTAGGCCAGAATAAATTAATATATAATTGGTTTATTATATTGATATAATATAAGAATTTTTTTATAAATAGTTAAATAAAAATGTTTGTATGAAATATATTTTAAAATAATTTTATGTCTAACAATCCAACAATTACTGTATTCTACATGATAGATTTAAACGAATTTATTTATCTCCTGTATAATTTAGTATATCTGGTGTAGAAAGTTTGGTACATTTACATTTTTTTAGTTTAAGTTAAAATATATTAGCATTAATAGATTTTTATTATGGTAATGGATTTAATCCATTGATTATTAATTACTATCATAATTATAATTGTTATTGCATTCAAGAATAATGTACATATTTTATTGAATAAAATCTAATGGATGTTTATTATTAACCAAAAACATTAGATACGGTATATAAATATAATTAATAAAATAAAACATGGTAGCATTATTTAATAAATTATCGAAAATTGTGTATAAAAATAAAAACATTTTGTAGACATAAAAATAATGTGTTTATTATTTATAATTAAAACAACTCACAAACAGCAATGCTACACGTTAACCACAATTCGGGAAATGCATCAAATATTTTAAATTTTTCAATACATTTGTTAGAATACTTTCTCTATTGTTATTTTAAAATTTTTAAATGTTTTTGACAATAATTAGTTCACATTAATTAGATTCTTATGTAAGATTCATTTAGTATAACTTCATAGAAAAAGCATTATTCCATAGACTTAGCATTACCCATGGTATCCTTGTGATTTCGTTGTCTGACACAGATTTTTTGTGTCTAACTTTTTATAGTTAACAATTATGTAATAATAATAGTTTTATTTAAGAGATATTTTAGTAAAAGTAAATAATTTAAATATCAATAAAATAATAATTAATTTCATTTCATTATTTAGTGCTAAATCATTTAATTGAATACATTATGTGTTCACTATTTATACGATTGTTTATAGAATTACAAAATAATATTTTGCAAATAACATTGACTTAAAGTAATAATATAATAATTTAATGAAATAACTTAACATAATGTAATAATTTTACCATTATTAGAAAATATCACTATTCATTATGAGATACTAATAGGTTTTTACAGAAACTAGCTACGAAATAATATTTAAATAATATATTATATTATATTTAATTTAAAAGTATTCCTATTAAAGTGAACATTCACACCCAGGTATTCAGATAAGTATAATAATAAAATATTTAGCAAATAAATACACATTCTATTCAATAATTTTACAATAAATACCAGTTTTGTAACACATATTATGGCTAAAAGTTTGAAAATATTGTTCGTACCGTTCGGTCCCGACATCGGACACGTGAACGTCTCCATAGGAATAGCACAGGTGTTGCTCAGCGCCGGACACCGACCCATATTCGCGATCGACGGCCACTGGAAGGCACGACTCAGAGACTATGGCATCGATTTTTGCGATATAAGCGATGACTGTATGGAAAACAATGGAAATATGGATACAAATTACGCAAAAGAGTTGTCCACACGAATGGTCAGGTCGGGTGCTATTGGACCTAAAACTGCTATTCAGAAAATGGCTGATATGGGCCGAGTAATGATTAATTGGATGAATGCAGCAATTAAATTAGACAAACATCTGACCACTTTATTGCCGTCGATCGCACCCAACCTTATAATTGTTGAACAATTGCTATCTATACCCGCCATTGAATTATCTGGTATACCGTATGTATGGCTTAATACTTCCAATCGTTTGAAAATGTGCAATAATAATAGACTGCCGCCATTCAGCTCAGGTATTATAATTTAGACACACGTATATTCAGCACAAATGTTGATTTTTAGTCTATCAAACATAATGAGTGCTAATGAGACCAATTAATTGGTTAATAATACTATGTGTTTTATTGAGCAATGCTTTCGTCAATTATAAAGTACTATAAACAAAAATTTATATAAATTATATCAATTAATAATAAACAGGTTTATCGGCGACGGATTTCAAAGAGTGGCAGATATTCAGAGACGTCCGGAATCGGGCGCTGAATGAGGTTTGGATTCAATACAATGATTACGTCATCTCAAGAGGTTGTCAGCCATTGAAAGAGAATGTGTTCGCGAATAATGACAAATGTCTTAATATTTATGGCTGTCCTCTGGAATTGGATTATCACGACTTGAGACCATTGCCTAAGAATTACATCCGTTTTGATAATTTAATGCGAATCGAGAAGAGAATACCATTTGAAATACCAATGGAGTTGAGGGACAGACCGGGAAAGTTAGTCTACTTTTCATTGGGATCTATGGGTGCGGCAGATGTGGACAATATGAAGAGATTAGTGACTATTTTGTCCAAATCTAAGCACAGGTTTATTGTATCAAAAGGACCCCTTCATAACGAGTACTCATTGGCTGATAATATGTGGGGCGAGGAGTCTGTCCCTCAACTTCAAGTGTTACCGTTAGTTGATTTGGTGATAACCCACGGCGGGAACAATACAGTGACCGAGACGTTTCATTTTGGTAAACCTATGATTGTTTTGCCACTATTTGGCGATCAATACGATAACGCACAGAGAGTTCATGAGAAAGGGTTTGGTATACGACTCGATGCCTACAAGTGCTCCGAAGAGGAGTTATTGAATGCAATCGAAAGTCTGTTAAATAATAAAGAATTGAATGAAAAACTGATGAAAATATCGCAAAGAATACAATCGGATAATAGTATCGCAAAACTGCCCGAAATTATTGAGGACTTCATTCAAAATCCACAGAAATATAAATTTTGAATTTTAAATTTTTTTATAAACAAATTTTTACTCAAAATGTAAACGAGTTTAGTATTTGAATGATTAGTTAATTTCTAATTAATAGAACGGATATAAGTTTCATCAAAAGAATAATTAACTTTGATTTTGCCATAATTTGTTTGTAAACATAAATAAATTCAGTTTTAATTTAATTATTTTGTACTAAATTCAATTTGAAAATGATATTTTAATAATTATTAAAACAATTATTTTAATATATTATTTAAACATTAATACAAATATATTTGATCTATTTCTTATCATGATAATATAGAAATGTGTAAATAAGTTAACATGAATGCACAGGATATGTATAACGTAAATAATGATTATTCTATCACTTTAAATTTGCCCAAAACTAGTATAAACATCTGATTAGAGTTTTTAACCACAATTCAAACATGGTGGTTTATAGAATTGTTCTCCTTCTCCCCCCTCCCCACCGTATGGCATTTAACATGAGTTACCATGTTAATCTCATAGTTATACTTTTAGATAAAAGAAACTTTCATAGGTTTAACATGAGTTTCTATGGGATTATAGCATAAGTTTATAATTATAAGATAAAGATTGGTAATGCTAATCTATGTCAGTGCTAATTTTATGGGATTTGACTATTTAAATATAACTAAATATTGTCAAAAATATTTAAAATTCTAAAAATAACAATAATTAAAAGCACACTAATAATAAAATAGAAATTTTTTTAAAACTCATTCCTGAATGGTGGTTAATGTATTACATTGCTATGAGCACCTTGTTTATTTTAAAAACATTTATAAAATGTGAAAAACAAATTAAATTAGAAAAATACAACTAATTATGTTGATTAACAAAGAGTTAATTAAATTATATTAAATCATGTGTTATATTAATAAATATAATTATGAAAAACTAACCACAAAATAAACTATGTTTAAAAGTAAGTAATATATAAACATACAAAATACTTATAACAATTTAGATTAACTATTAGTTCATTTCAAATCTAGTTCATACAATCATATGCTGGGCAGCTGTGACAATAATGTGGGCGCCGGACGTCAAGTGTAACCTATGGGAGACCGCGTGTCCAGAGCCTGAGCTGATACGGCCCTGTGTTTGTCAGCGGAGCGGCGACTCCGAGGGACAAGAGATTGCGTGCGGCGGCGATTCCCCTCTAGACCTGCCGGCGGTGTTCCGGGCGATCGCAGCCACCAATCGGACGGCCGGCCAAAAACATTTCCGCAAACTTATTATATCAAACACAGCGCTCAGGGAAGTGCCCGCCCGGGCCTTCGCCGGCGTACACTTTGACGAGTACGCCATCCATGACTGTACTAACCTTACCCGCATTCACCGGCTGGCCTTCGCCACAACCAACAGCACCGGTAATCATACGGGAAATACCGGTTTGAGTGATAATATGAAGACCTATGGGCTGTTCATCACAAATAACCCTAAACTCAATGGCCAGTCGACCGGCGAGTACTCCCTGTTCGACGCCTTAACACAGTTACCGCACTTACAGACACTCGTGTTGGCCGACAATAACATTACCGAAATACCGGCCCTACTGTTCAACGGGTCGACCGCTCGAACCGTAGCGAATGTGGAGATCGCCGGCCAGTCGATCGAGTCGGTGTCCGACCGATCCTTTTATAACCTCCAGTCCCTGTATTCGCTACGAGTGACCAATACGTCGGTTAGACAGCTGTCGACCGACACGTTTGCCGTCAACAGAGGGGTTGGTTCGCCGGCCACACACTTCCCAATGCATATATATCTGTATAATAATAGGTATATAAATAGTGGTAGTTTTGCGGCGGACAGTGTGTCGACCAATAGGACGGGTAGACCGATAGTACTGTCCATTTTGGACGACACGAGGGAATTGTTTAGTTATATACCGGAGTCTGTGTTCAGAGGTGTGGTGTCTGGGAATGTGAACAATAAGCTGTTTTTGCTTCAAATCCAATTGGATTGTAATGATTGTCGTAATAAATGGCTGACCAATCGGAATGTGACCACAGGTCGGCTCCTGTATCTCGAGTGCGCGAACGGCCGACCATTTGATAGTGATTTAAATTTTGTTAACTGTTAAGCACTTGTTTTTATGTTTATTTTATATTAATTATTTTTGCAGACTAATTGATTTATGCAGAACAACATAAGCATAGTTACATTTATTCCCACAAATTGTTTATAACTTGGTTTAAATTGAGTTTTTATAGTAATTAAAATCAATTGTACTGTCCAACTTCTCTATAATAAACGGCCAGTTTCACGACAAAAGTGTTTATTATAGGGAGGGTTCATTTAAGGATAGTTTGAGTAAAAATGTCTAACTTTTGATTAATATTTGAAAATTTGTATTACCACCTATTCCGATGTTTTTAAATTCATTATATTTAGTATTCAAATCAATTACATTTTTGAAACATTGTATAACACAAATAAATAAAACAAATAATTTACAATTTTTTTAAATAATTCACTAATCAGAAAATGCATATACATGTAGTGTTTATTACAACTCTAACAATAATGAACGAAACTATAAATGAAAATGTGTTATTTTGTTTGTTTAAACTCTTAAATTAGAAGAAATTTTAAATACTTTACAAATGTTATTAAATGTGCTTTTAATTATATTTGTTTGTTATATAAAGTGAACATTTAATGTTAATCTTTATAAACCCGTTCATAATAGATAGGTATTCATTATAGAGAAGTTTACTCAAGAGAGGTTATTTGAATATAGAAAATCCAACATACATGTACATGTATATTTTAATTCAGTTTGTTATGAGGAGATGTTTACTTCAAGAGAAGTTGGACTGTATTATAATAATCTCAAACTAATAATTAGATTATTTACAATATTTAGAATATTTAAATAATTAAACAACAGACAAATACAATAATATTATGATACTTATAATCATTTATTTTCAATCAATTTTATGTCTCAAGTGTTTACTGTAAAAGGATTAATAAAATTACTTAACATAATATCTCATTCATATTTTAACATGCACGTAAACATATATTTTGAATACAATGTATCTAGCACAATTATCTGCTTTTGTTTTAATTTTCATTTATATAACTATAATTTAATTAAATATGTTAATACAGTTATTAAAAATATTATTGAAAGACAATACAAAATTGATACAAAAATTGAACTTGTTAAATAATATTTATTTTATATAATTATTGAGTAAACAGTGATAAAATAAATATTTATATCATGATTTTTTACACTTTTTGAGAAAGTAATTTTATGAACAATAGTTTACGTAATAATTAAACAAATAAATGTAATGTATATAAAGAGGTAAAATTGGAAACAATTAAATCATAAATAAAAGTAAATTTATTTCATACAAACTTTACCGAAACTAACAATGCGTTCAACGATTTCCGTATTTGTTATTCTTTCAGTGCTCAGCACTTTTGGTGAGTAATGTTATGTTATTTATTAAAATATGATGAATACAGTTTGGATATAATCAAACCATTTAATTTTAAATTATGACCATAATTAATTGTATAAAATTTAATTACTGTATTATAAAGGCGTAAACTAACTGAAAGTGTAAAGTTAACATATAATGTTAATTACATTTTACATTACATTTCAACTGACTTGTGAGATGTTTAAATATACGTAATATAATAATAAATTAACATAATTAAATAAATTAATAGATTTACTAATTGCAAAATTATCATAAAACCTGATGAATATGTTTGTATATACTGTATATGTCGGTTAACAATTCAGTTAACACATACATAGAAGTATTTATTTTAAATAAATATTGACGATTTAAAGATAATTTATGTACTAAACTGTTAAGTCTAAACATAATGTATTTGAAATTTATAATTAGTTTAATTGTTTTATTAAATTGTAAGTTAAAATCTATATAAAATTGATATTTTTAAAAAATATAACATCAATTTTTTGATTAATATTAATTAGGCAAGTTTATTAAATCGGACGGCGTATGCGGTGATGGTTGGGACGTATATCACGACGACTTAAATGATGTATGTTACAAATACTTCTCAGATAGCTTGGACGACTACCAGACCATGGTCAACTTATGCCATAAACAACAAAACTCATCGCTACCCACCATTAAATCAAAGGCAGAACAAAATTTTCTCATTAACTTAATTGTTAAATACAATATTACAGACAATGTATGGCTGGACGCCGGAGTCAAACACAACCATATTGTTTGGGCGGATAGTAGTAGTGGTGTTGAGTACGAGTTCTGGATGGCCGGCCATTCGGTTATTGATAGCAACTGTGTCATTATGACTACCGGTGCCGCTAATATGAGTAAATGGTCAAATGAGGCATGCACAAAGAAACATGCACCTATTTGCAGACGAGTCGTGTTGATTGATCAAGATCAAGAAACAATTTTTTCAACCCACCTGGTAAACGATGGTAATGCTAGAATCACCGTGTTGGAAAATAATCTGAAACAACAGCAAATTAAATTTAGCCAGTTGAGAAAGAGTTTAAACCAAGGTTTAGCGCAGTTAGAAGAAAGTATAGTACCTTATGGTTTTATATACGTACAGTTGCCAGGTCAAATAGATCCTAGATTTTTGTGGCGTAAATACCTGTGGCAAGACGTGACTTCATTTTACGCTGGTCAGTTTTTTCGGGCCGAAGGGAGCGGTAGCCTGTCATTTAATCAGGGTGTTCAGAATGGAGATTCACCAAGATTGACAAAAGTTTCTTATACTACAGGACCGTCATATCCTCCATATCCGCATAATAATTACATAGATGTAGTGCCCGGTCAGTTGAGCAACCCTATATTTACTGGTGATGACGGCGCTCAAGGTCCTGAAACTTTTATGCATTTTTTAGTGAGCAAGGTAGATGTTCACCCTAGAAATCAGGCTGTGCGTATATTTCAGCGTTTTAAATAATATACATCACATTTATTATGAGCTTTGAATAATAAAAGTGATTACTTAATATATGAATACTATTTTACTGTATTAATTATTTGCAATAGTACTGAAATATATTATTTATCATATGTTATTAATATTGATGCGGTTTTAATCCAATCAATTTTAAACTTATATTATTTTTAATACAATTGTTATATAATATAACATATTTGTTTTATTATAATTCATACCTAACTGTTATTATACGGCATTTTTACCAATATCTAATTACTGCTTTTTATAAGATTCAATATGATATCAATTGCTTATTAATACTTATGTTAATTACATTCAAATATTTGTAAAACTAAACTAAGAGTTCTTATGCATATCTAAAGAGCCATTAATGTAATTCAATTCAATGTATGTTTAGTCCTAATAAAGTGCGTAATTGTTTTGTTTGTCTAATCGGTTTACATATAATTAAGCCGTTAGCCAATCAACGCCTGACAAACACAGCCCACTCACCCGTTAGTATACCCCCTTCGGTCTGAAGGCAACAATATTATGAAAAACATTTAGAAAACAATTAAGGTAATTTAAATTTTCATTTTCTACCATATATAATGAGTTCAATATTTATAATTGTTTTTAAAAACAAAGTCGTTTATAGAAATCTGTATTGTTATTAACTGTCAGTTATTTTGGTTCAAAGATTAGCCAAACCACATAAATATGTTTATTATTTATATAAAAATATAAGTTTAGTAAATTAACTCATTTATCAAAACATTTACCCTAAAATCTTGTGCATTACCCGCGGGTTATACAAGGAAAAAAGTGAAATTTTTGGAAAATTTTTCATGGGCGGGTTACTTTGTTGAAAGAATTTTGTTCAAAAACAATTATTTTAATTTAATAATTACGTAAAATTGTTAATAATATTATTTAGTAAGTTAATGAGTTAGTTTAAGCTAGGTCAGGGTATGTTTGACTAGTTATTTTATTAATTTAAGTGAATTTAATTTAAGTGCGGGTTATACATGAGTGCGGGTAATGCACAAGATTTTAGGGTACTTTGCCATTATCCTTATAATAAAATACATGTATATCATAATATTATTACCATTGCAACTTAATAAAAATAAAAACACAAATGTATATATGAATGTAATCTTTGTAATTTATTTGTTTATTTATTTTTACATAATGTAAAATTAATTAATTAAAACAATATAGTGAATAATTTGTTTTTCAAAACTAATTAGCTTGCAACGTCAATAAACTGTCTATCAGTAATTGATTTAAAACAATTAACAATATAAATGTTACCTCATTAAATATATAATAAAATAATACATCAAAGGTTCTTATGTTTAACCCCATGATTATGAAACTAAAAGCTTTTTAATAGCAAAAACCAATTTAATAAATTATATAACAGGTAAGTTTTATAAATTAAATATATTTTATTTTATATTTAAAATTAATATAATTTAATTTTACTAACAGTAATATATTTATTAAAAACTCGCTATAAATACACATTTAATTAACGTTTTGAATGCAAAACTAATGGTATGTTTGAATACAAACAGGCGGTGCAGAACCCCCTCCACTGCCGCCACCGCCTTCTCCAGTACTGCCAATACTTAATACAAAATAATTTTCAAACATTTGTTACCGTTTTTTGCATGAATTGAGACGAATATTGTTTTAAATGACTGTAAATACTGTTGTATTTGTGTTTTAATTAATTGATTTGTAAATTATATAACATTTTAAAGTTTTTAGTTTATATGTCGCATATTTTATTGGAGTTTTAATTAAAACAACATTTGAAATGACATTAAATACTGTATAAAAATTTTATTTAATAAATAAATATCAAAGAAAATAAAATCTATAAAAGAAAAATTACGTAATTATAATTTAAAATAAACTTAAAATCTAAATAAAATGGGATTTTGTAATAAATGAACTAAAATTTTTGTGATCTATTTACGTAAAATAAGTTGAGTTTTTTTTAGTTGTTATTGCATTTTATTTTTAGTTAATTATGAAATTTTATTAAAAGTAATTATTTAATACAGTATTTCAGACAATAATGACATTAATTTTGTTTTGGGTTTTGAATAGCGATTAATATTTATATTTAATGTAAAATACAGACAAAACACGTCTCATTCACTCTAAATAATAGTAAACAAGCAATTAATTATCAACTAGTTCATTCACAATTCTATAGTATTTGCAATCGTATTATTGATTATGAGATAAATTATTTTACGGCTATAGAAATAATCATTTAATAACTTCTGTTTGGATTCAATAACTGACTGACAATTTTTATACCTGATAAGCAAAGCATTGAATTTAAAATTAAATGTAATTTTCCACATATTATAAATATTTAATAATTGTCAAAATACAAGTGTTTTAGTTATTATTTAATTTACATTTCAGACAATTATTAATTACTATGACGTCAATTCAAATCAATATAAATTGATCTAGGTAGAGTACACTTTTACTAAATTATAATACACTATCGTCTAGACTCTAGACTCTAGAATACTAGCGCCTAAAATCACATATGTTTTCAAAAACAATTAATTATCATATTTTAAATAATATTTTGATACAATTTATGTTTTAAAAACAAAAAGGCGGATACATTAATGTTAAATGACCATGATTATTATATTGCATAGCACTATTAACACTACTAAATGATCAACATTGTCACATTACGTAACATTGTAATGTTGTTTGTCAAAATTAAATTGATCATGATCTAAAAGTGAACTTAAATTTAATGAAGGATCACAATAATTTACAAAAGATCCAGTTTTAGTTGATTGCATAATATTAAGATATTAAAATGATCACCTAGATAAAACAATTAATAACACCTCATGATAGAAGTAAATTTTAATTTTCAAGAAACTTACCTGTTACATAAACATGTTATTGTAAAGTTTTCGCCACGCTTTAGATAAAGCAATAAATAGTTAAAATTAAATTTAAAACCACAATTAATTATTAAACAATGTTTAAACATAATATTTATTGGGATTAAGTGCTCAGGGTTACAATGCCAGCAATTTTAAATAACAAGTTATTATTAATACCCAAATGCTTTAAAATTTACAGTACAAATGCATAATTAATAATCTTAAAACAAAAACAAAGCTAACCAGATTAATATTTAGCAAATGTTAAAATAAAATAATAAATTTGATTTAATTCATTTTGATCATTAAAACCCTATATAAGGAGACAATATTATATAACTAATAAATAAAACTTTGAACTGTTTTTTTGACGTGAGAAAAGTTAAATAAAAGTTTAAACCCATAAAATTATTTCTTACCAAGTTACTAAATCAGCTTAAATTATGCTGAAACTACTATTGTTAATAGGATTGACAGCAGTCCTGACCTCTGCCAATATTTTCAATGATCTAAAACTCAATAAACTTGGGTTAGGTCTGAATTTGGGTCAAAACGGCAAACGAAATGTGATCGACAATAAAAATACAGTCAATTTGGGTAACAGTCGGGTCGGAACTGAACATTTACCCCGCGGTAACGGCAATACTGGTATACATCTGCCAACTCTACCCCACAATCCATTGAACATCACTCTTGGTGGAGGCAACAGTTACCAGGCAACACTGGACGACTACCAGACCATGGTCAATTTATACCAAAAAGAGCAAAACTCATCGCTACCAACCATTAAATCAGAGATTGACCAAGATCAAGAAACAATTGTAGCGACCCAGCTGGTAAACGATATTATTGCTAAAATCACCGCATTGGAAAAAAGTCTGAAACAACAGCAAACTAAATTTAACCAGTTGGCAAATAGTGTATACCAAAGTTTAGCGCAGATAGAAGAGAATGCAGTACCTTTTGGTTTTATATACGTACAGTTGCCTGGTCAAATAGAACCCAGATTCTTGTGGCCTAAATACATGTGGCAAGACGTGACAGCATTTTACGCTGGTCAGTTTTTTCGGGCCGAAGGGAGCGGTAGCCTGGCTTTTAATCAAGGTGTTCAGGATGGAGATTCACCAAGATTGACACAAGTATCCTATACTACAGGACCGTCATTTCCTCCATATCCCCATAATAATAACATTAATGTAATACCCGGTCAGTACAGCGACCCTATATATACTGGTGATGACGGAGCTAATGGTCCTGAATATTTCATGAAATTTCTAGTGAGCCAGGTAGAAGTTCGCCCTAAAAATCAGGCTGTGCGTATATTTCAGCGTTATAAATAAAAATAATATCACATTTACTATGAATTTTGAATACGTAATATAAGAATGCTATTTTACTGTATTAATTATTTGCAATAGTACTGAAATATATTATTTATCATGTGTTATTAATATTATTAAGAACGTAAATAAAACATTTAGTAAATTAACTCATTTATTAAAACATTTCCATTGCCATTATTTTTATAATAAAAGTATATTATAATATGTTTATATACTTTTAATATTATCGTAATGTATTTGTACACGGTTTATTTATTTCTACATAATGTAAAAGTATTTAAGTAAATCAATATAATAAATAATTTTTTTCTCAAAAATAATTGGCTTGCAATATCAATATAATAAATTAATAACATCTAATTAAGTGAATATATTGTCTATTAATATAGATACCTTTACAGGACTTTATTACCCAAATTACATACATGTAGATGTAGATAAAATAATATTTTTTGTAAATTTTGTTATTCATATTATGTGCTAATAGTAGATTAATTATCCTAATACTATATTATAGATTGTTGTTGAATAATTTTTATTATGTAAATTATACCAAAACATTTAAATGTTATAATTATTTTGTAAATACGCTCTTATAACCTAAAAAATAAACTATTAATCAGTAATATATTTAAAAGAATTATCAATATAAATGTTTCCTCATTAAATATTTAATAAAATAATGCATAAAAAGTACTTATGTTTAACGACCATAATTATAAAACTAAAAGCTTTTTAATAGCAAAAACCTATTCAATCAACTTATCATGTAATAGGTAAGTTTTATAAATTAAATATATTTTATCTTATATTTAAAATCAATATAATTTAATTTTACTAACATCATAATATATTTATTTAAAAAATTTAGTAATACACATTTAATACTAAATTGAATTAAATAAGTTGTTTTTTATTACGTACTGTTTTGACAGTTATAGCCACCATGTCGGAAAATACTGAACTGACCAATGCCAATTTTATTCTGAAGAAATTTGCAAAATTATTTTCTGTGGATTATCTACATGATAAACAAATACAAACATGTAATTTATTTAACGTCAGTAATACTGTAAACACTGAAATAATATTGATAACATATGGGGTAAGTAAAATTCAAATCGATTATATATTTTGTTATGATAATTCAACTTGTTGCAGCAATTATTTGGCATGATCAAATCTTTAACGCAATACATTACATGCAATTTAAGTCTTAAAGTTGTTCACATTGTGCAAAATTATACGGTTTGTGCAAATTAATTAATTATGTAAAGATAATTGACATTTATCAAATTATATTTAGCAATTGACCAATTGCTCTAACAATGCAAGTATTTGTATTGACATAACCGGAACTATTTATGGTAAAAATTATATCAATTATGGACAACAAATACCTTTTAAACAATTAAATATGTTTGAGATAATGACAACAAAAGTCAATATTATTGATAAAACAATCATGAAATTTGTGAACATATTTGACATTGAGGTGAATATATAGTACAATAGTTAATTCAATTTAACTAAATTATAATATGTTGATTTTTAATAAATAGAGTTGGGCATTTTTGGCATTAATTATTGTTATAGATACAATTTTATTGAATATAATTAGCAAAAATAGTTATAAATTAATTGAGTGTTTGATGGATATGTTTAGTACACTAACTAAACAGCCGACAAAAACATTAAAATCTCTACATAATTTAATGAGGTTTAAATGCAATCATTGGTTATATGCTGTAACAATTATTATCTGGATAATCATGTCGGCAAATCTATCTTGGTTTTTTACTAGTAAAATATTGAGCAATTATTTTCAAACAAATATACAACCGATGTATAAAAGTATTGATGATATTATAGCCGACAAAACAGTCATGATTTTTAGCTTAAAAAACTCAAAAATACTCTATAAAGTGATTGGTTATAAGAAATCTAACAAATTATACAATAAATATAGTAATTATCAAAAAGTAATGAAACAATTAAATATCACAGAAATGTTATCAATTATTGAACACATAATCAATGGTAAAGCCATTGGGATATTAGATAACGAAGTTATTGATACGTATAGAGGATTATACCCGACATTAGATATGGTTGGAGTGGACACCGGTTTAAAGCGATACCTAAGTGGCTATTTTGTGACAACAAATAATCACTTGGTAATTGGCAATCAAATTATTGCAATGTAATTATGTTTTGACATTCATATTTAAATAATTAATATTATTTATTTATTGTGCATGGTAGTTAATAAATTATAAAAGTATTTATTTTCAAGTATTGATAATAAATCTATATTTACTATTAGAATAGTATAACTATATAAATAAAATTTACTAATTAAAAAT